CAGCGCTGGGGAAGGCGAAGGCGGCCGAGGGCCACCGGAGTCGACCGGAGTCGCATGCAAACACCTTCCTAATAGAGCCGGCCTGCCTCCGGGCTGCCTTCGCACAGTGGGCCAGAAGACCGGTGGAGGCGGCCAAAACTCCAGACGCGGTCTGAGCTGCAGAGTCGCTAAACAGGCCTCGAACCGAACGTGTGACCCCACCAATGGATTCCTCGTTCGGAGAGCAATCCATTGGTGGGGTCACACGGTCGGTTCGAGTACCATTTAGCGACTCTGGAGCTCAAAAAGCGTCTAGAGTTTTGGCCGCCTCCACCGGTCTTCTGGCCCACTGTGCTTCGCTGCCCTCGCTGCCCTCGCCCCGCGGCCCAATCGACTGGCTCCAGTAACCCCCGAGGCTCTCCAGGCTCCAGGCTCCAGCCCGGACTGGGCGCCTTGGCTTTGTCGCTCTATTCAAAAGGGGCCGTTGTCGCGGAGCGCGGCGCGGATATACGCGAGCTATAACTACTGGCAACAACGGCGGCCTGGCCTCGGCCTGGCCTCGGCCTCGCGGGGCTTGGCGGCGAGGGGTTTGGCGGCGGCCAGGACCGCTTTAACTCATATCGCGCCGCCGCCGCTTCCGCTCAATCCGCGCGCTGCAGCGCCGAATCCATTTCCGCTCACCTTGCTCGCGCGCCGCCCCCGGCGCCCCCAGCCCCGCCCCCGCGCTGCGGAGATAGCAAGCGCGCTGCTGTTTTCACGTGCCAAAGGACTTTACGAGCAGCGCGGGCCTTTGTGATTGTGGAGTCCAAGACACTCGCTCTCCCTCGCAGCCGTCGTACTTCAGCGCCACCCCACCCCACCCCCGCCACCTCCCGCCAGTGCCGTGCCGCCGTGCGCACACACATTATTTTTACAGCTTGGAGACGACATTTCAATGGCTTTCCGAGAGGGCCTCGGGGGCCGCCTCCGGGCCGCAGCCCCGCAGCCGCTGGGAGGCACTCGCCAAGCCCCCCGGGCAATTTCGGTACTCACGGTTATGTGCCCTGAGTAGGCTGGACCCTGTAAGTCCCCCCAGCAGTTCAGCGGCGGGGTGCCAACCCAACCCCGCCAGACCCGGGCCAGCCAGCCCGCCAGGCCAGGGCCCAGGCCAGGGCCCAGACCCGCAGTAACACGGTTGGCGCGGACGTGCCCGCCGCCCGAGCGGCGATATTGGTAGCAGCCCCACACGCGCTAAAACTACATCGTCGGCCAGCGAGTGGCCGGGCCGCGTTCCGCCGGAGGAACAAGTTAGTTTTATATCGGAACGGCACAGCCCCCACTCTGCAGACTTTTATTTATCTTGTCGCGCACATTCCCGACACGAAGTCTGAGTGGCAGGTTCGGCTCTGGTGGACAGCAGCGTCAGCGACCCGCTGTCCAGTGCCTGTCCCGTGCCTGTCCAGTGCCTGTCCCCGTCGGCCACTGGGCCAGGCCGTTGGGCGACAACCTGGGGCACTTGGTGCTGTCGCCGCTGTCGCCCAGAGGCACCGCTAAGCCGATACAGTACACGGCCCGCCGTGTCGCAGGCCGGGGCTGCCGCGGCGTGACGGGCGCGATGTAGGCGTTGGGGGTGGGGGTGGGGGCGGCGGCGCCACTAACTGCCCTGTCGCCGCACATTTTGAGACCTGTCAATTCGGGTCCATCAGCCGACACGCCCTGTCCAGCACCCGCCGGGGCAGGGGCGAGTGGGCAGGGGGACACGTTGTTGTTGCGAGGCAACTTTGGGCCGCTTGGTGGGCGGGGCGGCGGGGCGGGTTGGCTTGGTCGACTCCCCCGTCAGCCCCCCAGCCTGTGAGGTGTGGGGCACACAGATAAAGTAAGGGTCCTCGTGTGGCGGGGAAGTGGGAAGTGGGGAGTGGGAAGTGGGGAGCGGGGAGCGGACGCGGCGTGGAAGCTGGCTGATCCCGGGGGCTGTGCCGCTGTGCCGCTGTGCCGGCTGTGGGGGCCGAGCCGGGTGCGGGTGGCTCGCTGGGGCCGCCGGGCCGTCCTCTCGCCACGGGACTGACACGTTTGACTGACTGGAAGATTGGCCATTTCCCCCGAAGCGCCGCTCGCTCCACCCCGCGCCACTACGTGCCCACTACCGGCACCCCGCACTGCCCCCGCACACCCCGGCAGGCCAGTTCCCCGCGCTGCTGCCGCCGCTCCCCGGACTGCCCGGGGTAATCCTGACCGGGCGATTGATTTGTGGTGCCGGCCCTGCCGTGCCCGCAAAGGGAAGTACCCTCCGGTACCCTCCGGACGGACGCACGGGAAGGCAGACAGGCGGACGGGCAGAGAGACACTCGGACGGGCGGACGCTCCGCCGCGCGGTCGCAGCGTCAGCCCGCCGGCCACTTCGCCGAGTTTACAGACATTCATCCTCCAAGTTGGTCGCCCTCTCTCCGCTGCCCGCTTTGCGCGCCTCGCGAGCTTCGCAAGTCGGCGGCGACGTGTTAGGAGGTCTGCGGCGCGCTGCGGCGGCATGGACCAGTGCCACAAAACATCCCCGTCCATGTTTCCATTTCAGAAGCCCTCAGTTTCTTCCCGAGCTGCTTCTTTCCGCTCGCAGCGCGAAGCGCGTTGTCGTCGATTGATAGACCGCCATTTGTTTGACGAAAGAACAAAGCGAAAAACGAACGCGCAAAAAAAAGGGGGAGGTGGTTGTCCGAAGTTGCGTATTTGCGATGCAATCTGTGCGGACCAGTGCGGTGCGGAGCGCGTCTTGACAAATGAGGGGCCGCGGGCTCTTTAATCGTGGGCCATTTTTCGCGACGGTGTCGGCCGAGCATGGCCGGCCCGGGCCATGGAGGAGCCATAAGGCTGGCGGGGGCGGACGGGGCGGCGGGGGCGGACGGGGGCGGACCGGCGGGGACGGGGGCGGACGGGGGCGGACGGGGGCGGACGGGGGCGGACGGGGGCGGACGGGGGCGGACGGGCGGCGCGGACAGGGGGGCGGGGACGGCGCGCTCTGGGACGGTCAGCAGCATCACAATCCAGAGATATGTCCACTCGACTCGACGAGGCTCGTGGGCCGAAGGGCCGAAGGGGGAGCGGGAACCTCGGATGAAAAATTCGCTGGCTTGTAACGAGGCCACGATGCCACGATACACTCCCCGCCCCGTCCACCGCGCCCCGCCCCGCCCCGCCCCGCGCAACAAATCATGTTTGGTCCATTCAGATACGGCTTCCCCTTTATCATGGCGGGGTCCTTACAGTCCTTGAGACGGCGTATTGCGGTCCGCGGATTGAATAGCGACGGCTGTATCGGCCGGCCGGCCAAGCCGGGCCCAGCCGGGTCCAGCCAAACCCAGCCGGGCCGCGCGGGGTATCGCCGGCTGGGATTTCATCAACGGAGCCCGGCCGGCCGGCCAGGCCTTGCGCGAAATGAAAGCGGTATCCGAGTCTGGATCTGGCTTGCCGGGGCTGCCGCGCCGCGCCGCCCCGTCCGCCGCCCCCAGCCGCCTCACAGCGCGCCGTTTAACGGCAAGGCGGCCGAATGGCGGGAACAACTTTCTCTCGCTACAGGGGTGGGGCCGGTGGGGCCGGTGGGGCGCCCCTCGCGCTCGCCCAACCGCCGCACCGCCCAAGCCAGCACGACGGAACGCTGTCCGCGGGCCTTTCACACACGCGCCGCGTACTCGGCGCCCACAAGAGTCCCTCGGCGAGGCGGGCGAGGCGGGCGAGGCCCCCGCGCTGGCCGGCCTGGCCCCCTCTGGGGCGCGGAGGGCAGCGGAGGGCCCCAGAACCGCAAGGGCGCGCCGGGCGGCTCATCCCAGCCCGGGTCGGGTAAGCGGGCCGCAAGGTCTACCTAGACTTGGGGAACGCTCGTTTATTGAGCTCTATAAACTCTTCCCGAATATCCGAGTCGGGAGGAAGAGAGCCGAGCCTACCCTGCGCGCCAAAGGGGCGCGGCGGCGTGCAGCCACTGTGAAAATTTGAGTCGTCACTTGATGACAATTTCAAGGCTAATTTTCCTTACGAGGATGTCATCAAGTCAATTAATGACATTGTAGTCACGCCCATGCAATAAGTATAGGAGCTTTGGTGAAAATGTCATCAATTTGTGACGAGATTGTCATCATTCCAAAGTGATGAAAATGACATCCACGTTTTTGTCATAAAGTGACAACAATTTTCACAGTGAGTGCGGCCACTGCGGGCAGTGCATTGCGTCCCTCTGTATCTCTCGCACGCGGGCGAGAAGCGGGGCGGGAGCGATAGAGCACCGCTCGGAGCATTTGCGTCGTGTTCTCTCTCCGTCCGTATACAATCCAGTATCCGTCCAAACGTCGACGAGGAGTGTTGCCGTCGAACGTGGCGCTCTGCTCTCGCTCCTTGTGAAAAAATGAATAGAACGGGAGATCAGACGGCCGAGCCTTTAACGCGTGTACAACGAGCCGCACCGGTGTTGGGTAAACGTTGTCGCGGGCATGGTGCAGGCATTGTGCACGCATTGTGCAGGCAGGGGCGAGGGCGGCCGTACCTTCATATCGTTGGCACGCACACGAGCGTGAGCGTGTGTGAGTGTGTGTGTGTGTGTGTGTGTGTAACGGAGTAGGGGCGCGTGTGGCGTGCGCAATATAACTGCCCACGAAAACAGCGCTCCCTCAATGTACTGTGCACGCACCCGCATACACACTCACGCACACGCCGACGCAGGCGCGCACACACATGCACACCATTTTCAGCGCCCCGCCACTCCAGAGGCCCACGCCATAATAAAAGTCAACACACAATAATAAACCAGGCCGCGGCTCTATCTGTCCCCGCTGACCCCTGCAGGGGCTGCGGGGCCTGGGGGGGCCGCGGCTCCA